CTGAGCTACAGCCACCCCGTAAGAATGCACTAAACAGTATGGTCAAAAACAAAGGAAAAATTGAACTAAATCTATGTGCTGTATTCATTCTTATCTCACTCTGGGAATAGAGTAAGGATCAGATAGGGTTATTTGTTTATGATTTGCGGTTCTGCAGCCAAACTGCTCACAAGACCTTAGTAAAGAACTGGTTCGGGTAAAAAGTAGGTTTAAGGTGAGGATTAATGTTATTTATGTGATAGAGTCAAGGTCAGGGGCTGAAAATACATTATTATTGACCTCAAAAGCACAGACATATGTTAGGTACCTTCATCCTGAATGTCTCTGCAGCGGTGCTGAAGGCAGAAAAAATCTCATCAAAGTCTTCTGAACTTTTGTTGACAAAGAGAAGAGCGTGGTTTAACACAGGCGACGATAAGATCTGAGAGGCTGTCTGCAAAAGGAGACAAAGCAGTTCAAACACTTAAGCAGTGAAGCTGGATTTCAGCTAGCGCTAATGTTAAGACAATTCAGCACATTTTTAAGTTCAATGGACAGAGCCCTCTACTGGCTGAGATGATCATAACAGGTGCAAATGAGGACATTAAGTTGTAATTGAGCCGCTAACTGCAAAGGCAGGAGGTCAGGGTGGATAAAGAGGACAACAAACTCCAGCTCTGTGTGCCAAAGCTCCAGTGCATCCATCAGAGTGTGAATGCATGTGATAAAAAGCACTTAAACTTCAGTTAAAGTGCTGTGCAAACTAGCTTGATTGCTCTTTCAGAGTATAAAAACACCTTTTAATATGGCGAGATGTATGCCAAAGAGGTGGATAAATATTAAAATTGATTTTCAACATAATGCGATCCAGTACCACCACCACCCACTACGACCTCAGTGATAAAGATAAAGTAGAATAATCACCTTTCGGGCAATGTCAACAATAACCTCATAAAAATTTATGGCAGAAGAGCTGCATTACACTGCAAGGTGCAAGGTGCTCGGTGGGTGTAGCCTACATGAAAACAGCAATTAGATTTCAGTCAGCAGAGATTTTCCCTGAAAACCATCCCAGTGGATTCAGACCAAACCGTTCCTACCGTAGCCGTTGTATATGTGTGAAAATACACCATGGACACAACACTGTACCTGCCCGGTGTACTCAGTGACTGGGTCCATCTGGTAGATGGTGATAAAGACGATCAGGTCCCCTTTAGATGTCTCGGGCGTCATTTTGTAAGCCTTGATGAGCTTAGACTGCAGTGGGCACACACAGACACACAAACATACATGGTATCACAGGTAAGACTATAACCAACAAGTCTGCTTTATATATTTACGCTTCTTTTGTAAAACTCTGGATGCAACATCAAGATTTCTTTCAGTTATGCGTGTCTTTTTGAAGGCTCACAGTGAGGTTTATGTTTAAAATCTCACTCATGTTTTATGGCATTCACCCACAGCTAATTTTTCTTAACTAAACAGAACTAAAAACTAACTAAAGAACTAAAACCTCTCTTCACATAGAGCAATGTCACAACTAGTATTGTTTTTGTGAACCGGTGTGTTTGTATGTGTTGTGCGTGAAGAACCTTTTTGAGCATCAGAACAACATCATGTGTGAGGCCGTATTTGGCGATGACGCCATCGTCCTGCGTCACCACAAACCTGACGTCAGGAAGCTCGACCGCTGTGGCGTAGAACACCTGGACGTACTCGTGGTTCAGCTCCTGCTCACACGCAAACGCACAGAAACTGTCGGAGT